AAAAATCTCAGAATAAACCTGAAAAAAAGACATTAAAGACCTCTAAAATGAAAATTTTAAATCTTTAAAGAGACTGAGGAAGACCCCAGAAGATGGAAGACCTCCCACGCTCACAGATTGGAAGAAGTATTGTGAAAATGATCATCCTACAAAAAGCCATTTATAGATTTAATGCAATGCCAATCAAAATCCCCATGACATTCCTCACAGAATTAAAAAAACCATCCCAAGATTCATATGGAAGCACAAAAGACCTTGGATAGCCAAAGCAACCCTGAGCACTAAGAGCAATATTGCAGGGATAATATACCGGATTTTAAATATTTTATTTATTTTTATTTTATGTGTATGAGTGTATTGCCTGCATGTACATGAGTGCACCCATGTCATCCAATGCTGCAGAGGTCAGAAGAGGGCTTCGGACTCCCCTGGAACTGGAGTTAAGAACAGTTCATAGCTGCCATGTGGGTGCTGGGAATTGAACCTGGGTCCTCTGCAAGAGCAGTCAGGGACCTTAACTGCTGAGCAATCTCTCAAGCCTCTCTATACCAGATTTTAAACTATATTACAGAGCTATATTCATAAAAACAACATGGTACTGGCACAAAAACAGACCTACAGATCAATGGAACAAAATTGAAGACCCAAATATGAATACATCCAATTTCAGCCACCTGATATTTGACAAAGGGGCCAAGAACATTCACTGGAGGAAAGACAGCACGTTCAGCAAATGCTGCTGCCAAAACTAGATCTCCACCTGTAGAAGAAGAAACTAAACCCCTATCTTTTGCCTTGCACAAAAGTCAACTCCAAATGGATCAAAGACCTCAATGTGAAGCCTGAAACTCTAAAACTGTTAGAAGAAAACATTGGCAATAACCTACAAGATATACGTGTAGGAAAGGATTTTCTAAACCAGGCATAAATTGCTCAGGAAATAAGGTCAAGAAACAACAAATGGGACCTCATTAAACTAAAAAGCTTCAGTACATCAAAAGAAGCAACCAAGGAAGTGAAGAGGAAACCCACAGAGTGGGAGAAAATCTTCACCCGGGACACATCTGACAGAGGTTTAACATCCAGATATAGCCTGGGAATTCCTCATTCCTCTGAAAACAGCGGCAACACAGGGCACCCTAGGAAAAGGGGTGGTGCTGTGGCCATATTGGAACTCTGAAAGGCAGGGTGTCCTGCTGGTCCTGGCATTAGAAAGCTGATGAAGACAATGGGTAGGGCTTGAATGGCTTGTGTGTTATGAGAGCCATTTGTTTGCAAGTCACCCCCTCCCAAATTCATATAAGCTATGCAAAATTCAAATAGGATGTCTTATGTCAGTCTGTCAGCTCTGGGGCCTCAGGAGGGCATGGTTGTGAGTCTCCCAAGAAGGGAAGTAAAAGGAAAAAAATGTACTGGAACACCAGAATATATAAAGAACTCAAAATACAAAGAATCAAGAAAGGAAGTAACCCAATTAAAAGAGGACTAATGAGCTGAACAGAGAGTTCTCAAAAGAAGAAATAAAGATGGCTAAGAAGCATCCTAAAAGGTGTTCAACATCATTTGTAATTAGGGAAATGCAAATTAAAATCACTTTAAGATGAAAATCTTACCCCAGTCAGAGTGGCTAAGAGAACCAATGATACCAAACCAAGAGAACAAATACCAAATGTTGGAGAGGATGTGGGGAAAGGAGAATGCTCATCCACTGCTGGTGGAATTGCAAACTTGTTCAACCCCTATGGAAAGCAGTGTGGAGAACTCTTTAAAAACTACAAATGAACCTACCATTTGACCTAGTTATACCACTCCTTGGCATATACTCAAGAACTCATCCTATTGCAGACACTTGCACATCCATGTTTATTGCTGCTCTTTTCACAATAGCTAAGAGATGGACGCAACCTAAGTGTCCCTCAACTGACAAGTGGATAATGAAAATGTGGTACATTTATAGTTTTACTCAGTAGTAAAGAAATATGAAATCATCAAATTTGTAGGTAAATGGATGAACTAGAAATTTGAACCATTGTCCAGTCTGCATAAAGGAGGGTCAACACAAGAGACATTTCCTCCATGGTTCCAAGTGAAGGTAGCCATGGTCAAGCAGGACCTTTGACTTATCTTCACACAGATGGAACTGGTAAAAGAAAGGAGCCAGGGGCTCCTCCCAAACCCATGTGACCCCTGAGGAACAGATCCTCAAACGACCTTAAGAGTAAAAATAAATTGGTTTATTTGGGCCAACTGTATAGTCTTAAACACCCAAAAGGAAAGTATAACCAAAGATTAAAGGGATCAATATAATTCTTTAAGAGTCCATATGTATAGCTAAAGGCTACATAATAAGAAACAATGACAGACAGGAGATACCTCCCTTTGAGTTGTTGGCAAGCGTCACCCAAGACACTCCCAGACAGTACTCCAGCATAGAATTAGGAAAATGAACAGCAGACCCCAATCTTTTCTTTTTTTTTTTTTGGTCTTTTTGAGACAGGTTCTCCCTGTAGCCCCAGCTGGCCTGGAACTCACTATGCAGACCAGGCTGGCCTCAAACTCACAGCGATCCACCTACCTCTGCCTCCCGAGTGCTGGGATTAAAGGCGTGTGCCACCATGCCCTGCGCCTCCCAATCTTTTCTAAAGGAATGTTGGCAACTGATTGCTGCTAGATGAGGAAGAGCTGATCTTCCTAAAAGACTCTAGATAGGCTGACTAGACTCAGTGGATGGACTTGTACTGGGGAACGGCTGAGGGCACTGACAATACAGTGGACAGTAATAGGGATTAAAGAGTGTATTGGTGGCGGGGGCTGGATAGATGGCTCAGTGGTTAAGAGAACTCACTGCTCTCGCAGAAGACCCAGGTTCAATTCCCAGCACCCACATGGCGGCTGCAAACTGTCCTTAACTCCAGTTCCAGGGGAATCCAAAGCCCTCTTCTGACCTCCGCAGCATTGGACAATATGGGTGCACTCATGTACATGCAGGCAATACACTCATACACATAAAATAAAAATATATTAAAAAAGAATATATGGGTTCCAGTGGGGGTGGGGGGAGGCTATGGGAGGGCGGCATTTGGGATGCGGGTATAAAGACGTATAAGATTGTTTGGGATGTTCTGTATGAAATACATTAAAAAAATCAATAAAACAATTTAAAAAATAAAAAATGATTTTAAGTACCACTAAAAAACTTATTTAAAGTTCTATTATTTAAATTTTTTCCCTCATAAAGAACTTCTAAATTTTATACAAAGTTTTTTTTTTTTAATCAATGGCTAATGTCAAACCTAACCAAGGATTTGTGGAAACACTAGCAAAGATCCCACATAATATTTTAGGAGACTTAAGATCAGCATTACAGCAAAGAAATAGGCCTATAGTCCAGGATCTGCAGGTCCCATCATGTATTGCACTACCTAGAACTGGGAGCCTAAGAGAATTGTGAAAAATGCTGTTTTCTGTGGACAAAACAACCCATGGACCAGTCTGGAATCAACAGTTATGAGGAGAGGACATCAAATGACAGGTCATAGTAACTCCTTGAATCAGAGATCTTTATATGCTAAAGCAGAAAAGACCATCTAGTATTACTTGCCCCCAATGACTAAGCCACTTGGAAAAATCTGTGCTTCCTTCCTCTTAGGTGGGAAGGAAGATAGTTCTTGGCTCTCAAAGAGTACAGTTTCACTAGATAAAACAGCAGGATAGCTATTGAATTATAAGATATCAGTGTTACCTAGATACTAAAGGCTCCCTGTGCCAATCAAGGGATCAGCTGGCAGGAAGTTAGCATCCTATGAAGGATGCATCATCCTAAATCTCTGAATTCACAAGAGTGAAGGTTGAACAGGATGATCTCAAATATCTGACAACCGGTATGTGAATTTTTTGCCAAAGGCCAAATTCTCCTAAATCCTATACATTTAGGTTTAAACACTGGCACAGTAAAGATAAGTTCATTTATTAAGCACCTAGTAATTTCTAGCTTGATGTTTCTCTCTCTCTCTCACTTTTTATAAATATATTTATTATTTTTATGTGTATGAGTGTACTGCCTGCATGTGAGTACACCCGTGTTGTGCAATGCCTTGAATCTCAAAAAAAGGCATCAGATTCGCCTGGAACTAGAGTTAAGGACGATTTGCAACCACCCTGTGGGTGCTGGGAATCAAACCCTGGTACTCCACAAGAGCTCTCACTGCTCTTAACCACTGAGCAATCTTTCCAGCCCCATGTGTGTATTTTTCAATAGACTGTGACACTAATGCAAAGCCAGGAACAAAGGCAAAAAGAACAGTGAAAAAAAGTGGAAAACTTCAAAGAATATACCTACTCTTATACAACTATAAAAGTATCTTTAAAAAAAATATTTATTTTTATTATGTGAGTGCACCCATGTCATGCAATGCCGCAGAGGTCAGAAGAGGACTTCAGATTCCCCTGGAACTGGAGTTAAGGACAGTTTGTAGCCGCCATGTGGGTGCTGGGGATCAAACCCAGGTCCTCTACAAGAGCAGTCAGTGCGCTTAACCACTGAGCCCTGTCTCCAAAGTAAGTATCTTTTTAAAAGACAATTCAAACATATAAACCAGAATATTCACACTGCTTTCATTTGATCTATAACTGTTATTGTATGTTTTTGTACATGCAGGTATGTGCTCACATATGGGTATGCAGCATGTTTGTGCGTATGCCTGTTGTGCGTCTGTGCATGTGAAGATGTTCTTCAGGAGCCACCCATCCTTGTTTTCTGAGACCAGGTCTCTTATTGAAATCTGAGACCTGCCTGTTTGGCTAGGCTGTCTGGCTGGTTTAAGTCCCAGGTTTTGCCTGTCTCTGGCTCTCAGCACTGGGATAACAAGTCTGCCACCACGCCCAGCTTTTTACATAGGTGTTGGGGGCTGAACTTCATGCTTGTGTGATAGGCACTTTACCAACCCAGTCCCATCTCCCCATCCCCTACCTAAGTTATTTTTAAGAAAGAAAATATTGACCTCTGGATTTCCTCTGGAAAAGTTGCACTGAATAAAAGGGTTTGACGATGTTCCTTTGATGGTATCCCAGGAAAAGAAATTAACTTCTTTATTTCCGGGCCAAAACCCATATCCAGCATGCGATCAGCTTCATCCAAAACCAAGTATTTAACTTGCTTGAGACCAATCTTTTTGCATATTTTGAAAGACAAGAACAAAAATTAGTTTATATTAAGTTAAAATATTCATAATTTCAACTCTTCAAGTATTTCTAGGGACAGACTAGAAATCAAAGCATAAAGTGGTAAAAACTGTTGTGCTCAAAGACTGATAATACTATTATTTCTGTTCCAATTTTTATTCATGTACAAAACATTTTATAAATTAAGTATAAAAGAATCCAAAATAAAAAAAAATCCAAAATATCTATAGCAATGCTCCATACTAGGACTTCCTACAATTACCTGAATGTTCTATTCTTATCATCTTTAGTGTCTAACCAATTAGCATTAGCTATATGTAGCTTGAAACATGTCTATTTAATTCTGAAACTAAAGTTTTTATCATCTTAAAATATAAGTAGGGGCTGGAGAGATTTCTGCTCAGTGATTAGGAGCACTGCTGTTCTTGCAGAGGACCTGGTTCAAGTTCCAGCACCCACATGGCAGGTAACAACCATCTGTAACTCCGGTTCCAGTGTATCTAATGCTCTCTTCTGACCTCCATGAGCATTGTACCACATGGGTGCACTTACATACATGCAGGGAGAACCCTCATATACATAAAATAAAAAATATTTTAAAAAATTAGACTAATGTTAGATAATAAAATTAACAACATGAAATATTTGAATATCTTATAATTTCTTTCTAACTGCTTTAAATTATCAATGTATTCTCCAACTGGGAAGTTTCTCTTATTTTTACATGAACAAGAACATTCCCTATAAATAAAATGCATTTACAAAAAGATGGACAAGTGACTTTTGGTACTACTGAAAGATGGCAAGCAAGAATATGACATGAGTTTCTCTAGCTACTTTTAATAAACACCCTTCAAGAAAATGCTTTTATCCAACATGTTCATTTGTTTTCATTTTTGCTTTTGCCTTTGAGACAGGGTCTCTTTGTAGCCCCAGCTGGCCTGGAACTTGCTATGAAGACCAGGTTGGTCTCTATCTCACAGACATTTGCCTGCCTCTGCCTTCCAAGTGCTAAGATTAAAGGCATACACCATGATGCCTGGCCAGAAAGAACATGTTTTAAATAACTCCTTTAGGGAACACTCACACAAAAAAAGCAAGTATATTTCATTAATATGAACTTAAACTATTAGGAGATATAATAATCTGTTCTGTGAATTCCCAAGTAAATGCATAGCCCTAAAAATCTCTTCTGAAGAGACTTGGAAAATTAACAATTCAACCAGGCATGGTGGCATGTGCCTTTAATTCCAGCCCTTGGGAGACAGAGGCAGGAAGAACTCTGTGAGCCAGCCTGGTCCACATAGTGGCATCCAGGAGGGCTAGGACTAGTAAGACTCTGCTCCCCCCCCCAAAAAAAACAACAAAAGAAAAAGAAAGAAAAATTAACAATTCATGTTAATACCATTCACAGGCTTTAACAGGAAAGAAAATTAATTACTCATGCCACAAAGTGTTTCTTCTTTGGTGAAAAACTACTTCGACTATATATACATATGTTGTATTTTTCTTCCAGTATAATAAAATATGAAGTCTAAGAAGCAGATCCAGAGTCTAACACTAATTCATTTACTAGAGCTAACCAAGAGATTTTTTTTAAATTTTTATTTATTATTTTACGTGTACAAGTATATTGTCTGCATGTACATGACTGCACCCATGTCATGCAATGCCAGAGATCAGAAGAGGGCTTCGGATTCCCCTGGAACTGGAGTTAAGGATGGTTTGTAGCCACCATGTGGGTGCTGGGAATCGAACTTGGTCCTCTGTAAGAACAGAACAGTCAGTGCTCTTAACTGCTGAGCCATCTCTCCAGCCCCCCTGCTCCCCTTCGAGGGACTTTTAAAATAAATTATTCATCTCACTGAGTTTCTTTTCCCGAGTATAAAATACAAAATATCATGACTTCTTGGGATTATCTTGAGGATTATAAAACTGCATTCAAAGAATCTGATAGAGCCTAAAATATGGAGTGCTCTAATAAATACATCTTTCGCTATTTCATTCCTTTCCTTTCCGTATGAAAAAAATATTATGCTAACAACTTTGTTATCTTAAGGCTTACCTTTTCTTTACCTATGATATCTATCAGTCTCCCAGGAGTAGCACATAATATATTACAGCCTTGCACTAACTGTCGAATTGAGTGCCCGAACTGGGTTCCCCCGTATATGACAACAGCTCTTACACAAGTCCTATATAGAAGAAAAATATTATTTTCTACTTATTTGAAAACTATACATTTCTTCCTAATAGTTTATGAAACAAAATCCATAAATAAAAAAACCAACATATTCAATTATCTAAAAAAAATGTTAAATTCTTTGGAAGGAGGAAGTTTATATAGGAAAAAAATTTTTGTGATCTGATTAAAGATCTGTTCAAAAACAATGAGAAATACCACTATCATCCTTCCTCCCCAAACACACCCACTCACACATAAAGCCAATAGAAATTAGAAAAACATAAATAACTGCTGATGACTTTTCCCCCCAAGCAGCCTGCATAGCACTTTCTGGTACTATGAGAGCTAGCTAAAAGGGAGGATATTTCCTGGGCAGTACTAAATTGATTTTTCCATGCTGTGACCAAAGAATACAGTATCTTTAGCAATTATTCTACATTTACTGTAATTTAGCCAGGCCTCTACTGGCACGACTTTTAGAAAATTTTCAGCCTCTTACCAAGCAATTTAATAAAAAATATCTAGCTACAAATATTCATCTTTGGATATACATAGTATCTAAATTTACCATGAACATTTTCATTTTTGAAAAAGAATCTTTTCTTTAAATTTTTTTTTCATTTAAAAGGGGCTGGAGAGATGATTCAGTGATTAAGAGCACTTTGCTGATTTAGTTCCCAGAATCTACATGGCAACTAAAAAAACCATTTGTAACTCTAGTTCCAGAGGATCAGACGCCTCTCGTGAGCACTGCATACCACAGGTGCAATTACATACATGCAGGCAAAACACACATACACATAAAATAGAAGTAGAAATTTAAATTAAAACTATCTTCTTTTACTTAATTTAAAAGGTGAACACAACACAGTACACTGAGGATTATCAAGAAATAGATCCTGATCTAAGCTATTCAGATTTAATTTTTTGCAAAAGTTTATATAAAAAGCTTAACATTAGAGATTTTTTCCAGTTAATTATTTATTTAATAACCACATACTTAGAAGAAGCATTTCATTACAACAGCATTGATATATTCAATAACAATTTTCTGAGCTGTAAATTTTTAGTTTTACAGTTATACAATATTGTACTCAGTATAAACCCTGTAAGACATAAAATTGAATGAGTTTTTAACCTTTAAAAAAGATCTCCATTTCATTTAAAAATATGCTGTTTCCTACATTTTTAATGCTACTAACACTTAGATGTTTGCACATGTCTTTAATCTCTATATATCTGATGATTACTAGAC